GGGTCAGGAGAGGTCTGCCACACCATGTGGTCACCTCCGGGGCAGGCGGGAATCGAACTCATGCAGAAGTGGCTTTAGCTTCTCAGTGCTTTAACCCGCTGCGCCACCAGGGAGGGCCTATACTTTACTATTTTATCAACACCTATATACTGTAGTTTATATTTATTCTTCCCGTCCACTAATCCTCACTTGATGTTTTCAAATGTACCATATATTCTGAATTTATTTATATTTTCCAATACAAATATTTTATTGTAGGCTGCAAGTTTTGATCGTTTTACTGGCATAAACTACTTTGTTACAATTATTTGCAAAATTACTACCTTAATTCATAACTTTATTATACTTTCACATTTACATTTGAATAACCCTTATTACATTAACAAAAAGCATGCTCTGGTCAATATTCTCCATGGTGAAGATGTGCCTTTTACTCTCTACAGAGTGAGGGGTTCAGCATAATATGTGTAATGCTAAATCTCCAATATTCAATGTTTATATATTACTCTTCATTGTACAGTACAGAGGTAGCTGGCAGTAGTTTATTTCTAACTTTTTCTAATTAATGCGTTTACATTAAATGTCTTCAACGTTTTTGTTTATTGGCTTTCAACTTTTAAAGTTTTTTTTTTATTTTGGCAATGATGGTACCTGTGTCAGTATGTATGATTAAATTTTCTGCAGAAGAAATAGCGCAGTTATTTACATAATTTACCTAGCAGTTCCTCATTGTCTACTCTTTATTTAGGCAAAAGGCATTGCTCTTGATAGTCCACTGTTAACTCTTTCATTTGAAGGATGACTGTAATTATGTTTAATAATGCTGATTTGAAAATCAGCTTTAATTTTAAGGAGATAGAAGAACTAGAATGTTTTCTAATGTACTTATATCAGTGCAATTAGTAGCTTTTCTAGTCATCTTAAGCAGGTTGTATGTATGACATAGTTTCCAAAGTGCAAGACAAGATTTCATTTGGTTTGTTAATTTTGTTACAGTATTACCAAAGAGAATGCAACTAATTTATCACTTTGGTTGTAGTGATTGAATTACATTTCTTTTTCATATGTAGATTTGATATTTTCTGTATATGTGCTTCATATTTTCTAGTAAAACCTTAACTCTTTATTCAAATTTAGAAACACCAAAAAAAAAAGATAATTGTGGCAGGAATTTAAAAAGTCATAAAACCAAAAATATATACCATAACTCAGTACATCCATGTCAGTACTTACTATGGCCAGTCTCCAACTTTTAGCAGTTAGAGAAGATTAAATAAGTTAAATGCAGAGTAAAATAATGTATTCATTGCTCTATCAAACAACTTTATGAAATATATGCTTTTCTTTCAGTTATTTGGGGGGATTCAAATTATCTTCTATCAAATAATTTCTTCTCTTTTACTAAGAGCTCATGTGAACTATAAAAGTCATATTTCCATAGTATTTATGTGTTCATAAAGTCTATATTTTACTTGTTTTTATTGTAGTATTGAATTGTTTTTTGGTGATGATTTAATTGTTTTTGTCAACTTTGTTTTCAATTTATATAAATTTATATTTTGCAGAACAGGTATAGGGGCACCTGCCCTCCAACATAAGATGTTGCTGGTTGGGCTCCCAAACTTCCAAAGACAGAAACCATTAGTTTGTGGCTATATTTATAATTCTTGTATGACTTACAATTCCTGTTGTTTCTTCTATGAGTATAAATATACCGAGTTATAATATATGTTTTTGGGGCTCTATGACTTTTTTCATAGGGTAGATTTTAAAAGTTTTTTTTTAATGAGGAACTTCCGATTAAACTGAGTACAATATATCTATAGGGTATACAGTCAAAGTAGATACAGTTAAACGTTTACTTTATATGAATATATAGCTCACTTTTCCCTCCCTTGCCACAGGTAATTTCCCATTAGCAAACTGAGGATTGTACCTTTTATTTATTTTTGGACTTGAGTGTTTTCTGGACTTACATAATTATAAACCTTCAGACCTAGCAACATCCTTCATACTTAGCTTTATTTCAACTTGCACATTAGAATTTCCGCTTCTTATATCTGGCCCTACTTGCAATCCTTTGTAATATCAGTGTGTCATTTGCAGACTTTCCAGTGATCTATCTTCATTTGTGCTATTAATGCAATAGAATTGTGTGTTTACTAATATAGTAGTAGTTATTTTATTTTGCCTTCTTTTGGATGTATTTCCTTTAAATATAGAAATAGTCACAAAGATATTAACATAAGGTAGAACTTTCTCCAGTAGCATAATAATCATAAATCTATGAAGAAGTATGTACAGGAAGAGGAAATTAGGGGGGAGTTTACAATGAGAAGTTGAAGGATAGAAAAGACAAATTTTAGAATGTCAGTCTGACAGTGGTTTCCTCTGGCTCCATTATTAAGACAGATATACATTTTAAAATTTGTGGACAATTTTTCCATTTAATTCAGAGATGTGAAATAAGATATTTTCTTAAATCAAAGATTGCCTTTAACATGCTTGCCAAAAAAGGAATTAGTCTATCTCTTTTAAAATAATGATACCTTATTTTTATGATCACGTTATACATACTCTTTATTACATGCTTATCATTAATGGCATAATTAGTGTGTTCACCTGTTTGAAAATGAATAACCAACCCTAACTTTATTGGTATACTATAATTATTAGCTTAGGGTAGCCTTGGGATTTGATAACTTTAAAAACTAGCTTTCATGTTCTTAATTAATGGAACAATCCTTTAAGCTAAAAGAGGAGTTGACTTTCAGCAAGGAGTCATTCATTACCAAAGTGGGAGGGTTATTATAGTCAGCATATAGTAGGAGGTTTATTTCTTAGTGGTCTCTTTTTTACTTTAATAATGCCCATGTCATAAAATTTCCTTTGCTTTCCTCTTAAATTTATACTTCCAAGGTTAAAAAAAAGAATTGAAAGTAGCTACAACCATAAATATTTCTGATAGATTTATGATAATTGAATCATATTTTAAAAGTGTTCAAAATGAACACTGAAGTTTACTTTTATGTAAAATCTGAGATTCGCTTGGGTAACTATTTTTTATAGTAGTATTTTTTTATTACAAAAGTTTATTTTTACATCATTTTGTACATTTTTTTCCCCATCTCGATTGTAATCCCCGCGGGTTTCCCATCACCAAATCACCCATGTGCCATCACCATAATCTCTCTTGGGTAACTATTTTATGACTTTTTTTTTAGTAGAGAAATTTGAGGTTTTCTAAAAGGTACCACCTTATTGAAAGGATTTCAGATGTTGATGAATTGGTTCCTTAACAGTCTTCAGATGACTGAAACCTTTTTACTCTTTATAGACAACACTGATGAACTTTATTGCAATTGATAACAGTTAGGAAAATTCTGATGTATTACTTCATATTTGAGATAAAAACAGGAAAATGAAATTGGATAGATTAATTTGATTTAGGATACCCTAGTCTCCTTACCCTTTTCTGGAATAAGATTTGTATAAACAGACTAATATAATGTGAATCCTGACTCAGTGGTTTTTTTTTTAGTTGTAAACATTATTTTTATAAAACATAATGAGTATAGTGGCAAATTTAAGTTGTCCTTTAAAGTGAAAATTCCAACATCCACCCTGAGCAGATAAAGTAATTGGGAAAAAAGCTCTGAAATCAAGAGGAAATAAATATACTTTGTATTTCCAGAAGCTGGTACTTGGTATCATAAGCATCAAATAAACTAAATCTTTGGATAAAATGGTAAGTAGCTTGCATAGCAGCATTGATTTGAAACATAATAATGTTGAGATGCAATTTAGACACTTGTATCCTGGGTTATCCTCTTCAGAATTGTACTTAATATTTAGAATAACAACATTGTAGAAGGATTCAGCTATAGAAAATTAGAGTGTTGGAAATATGAACTTTTCATATCATGATAAAAACTATTATAAATTTCTTAGAAGACTACCCATAATAGACACTTCTTCAAATTATAATTTTAATATTAAAACACCATTAAGAGTTATTGATCAAACATAAAGAATCAATAATGAAAGAATTAAAAGCCAATAAAGAAAAACATGGACAAATGTGCAAAACTTATGAAGACGCAATGAAAATGAGAATATATATGCCAACACACTTCCATTTCGAGCCACAGGATGTCGTTGTTCTCCAAGGAGAGAAAAAAATTAGGATTACCGGGACCACAAAGACGCTGGTCTCTGTTCCGGTGCTTTACAGACTACAAACATATCCCTATTGTTAAGCTCAGCTGGAAACTCAAGACCAAGGACTCAAAAGGACTGCACCTTTCAGCTCCTGAAACCTTGATTTACTCACCAGAAAAGAGAAGACACGATGTCAACTTCAGGACAAGTTGCCCAGGCAGCCCGGCGCCTGCTGCTCTCTCTTCTGCTCTTCGTTGCGTGGGAAACCGGCAGTGGCCAGGTCCGCTACTCGGTCCCCGAGGAGGCCAAACACGGCACCTTCGTGGGCCGCATCGCCCAGGACCTGGGGCTGGAGCTGGCCGACCTGGTGCCCCGCCTGTTCCGGGTGGCGTCCAAAGGCCGCAGCGACCTTCTGGAGGTAAACCTGCAGAATGGCATTTTGTTTGTGAATTCTCGGATCGACCGGGAGGAGCTGTGCGGGCGGAGCGCGGAGTGTAGCCTCCACCTGGAGGTGATCGTGGACAGGCCGCTGCAGGTTTTCCACGTGGAGGTGGAGGTGAAGGACATCAATGACAATGCGCCTGTGTTCTCTCTCAGAGAACAAAAGCTGCTGATATCTGAAACAATGGCTCTCGACACTCATTTTTCACTAGAGGGCGCCGCAGATGAAGATGTCGGAGCTAATGCTGTTCTGAATTATAGACTGAGCCCAAATGAGTATTTCTCTCTGGAAGTACCGAGCAACGATGAGCAGGTGAAACCTCTGGAACTAGTGCTAAGAAAACCTTTGGACAGGGAAGTCGATTCCGAGCTTCTCTTGGTGCTCAGAGCAACTGACGGAGGTAAACCTGAGCTGACAGGCACCACGGAGTTACACATCACGGTACTGGATGTAAATGATAACGCCCCGGTGTTTGACAAAGCCGTCTATCGTGTAAAATTACTTGAAAATTCAAGAAACAGCACACTGGTTATTAGACCCAATGCCTCAGATTTGGACGATGGTTCAAACAGTCACATTCTTTATTCCTTTGCAAAAGATGTCTCCCCTGTTACTAAAGCCTCTTTTCGCATAGATTCAGATACTGGAGAAATAAAAGTAAATGGAAAAATAGATTTTGAAGAAATGAAATTATGGAAGCTCCATATCGAAGCAGTGGACAAAGGCCACCCCCCAATGTTTGGTCACTGCACAATCCTGATAGAAGTCTTGGACATCAACGACAATGCTCCAGAATTGCACGTGAAGTCACTATCACCCTCTGTTGCAGAAGACGCTCTACTGGGCACTGTCATCGCCCTGATCAGCGTGTCTGACCGCGACTCAGGTGCCAATGGACAGGTGACCTGCTCGCTATCACCCCATGTCCCTTTCAAGCTGGTGTCCACCTTCAAGAACTATTATTCGCTCGTGCTGGACCGCGCCTTGGACC